ACGGTGGTGCTGTTCTCGAGATTTTTTTTCCCCGACTACGGTATTGGTCCGTTCTGGACGACGTTAATAGCAAAGCCCATTGTCAGGGAAGATTATATGAATGCAATGCAACATTATGAAAGAATAATGCATGGCGTGGTCGCACACGTGTGGCTGATGCCGAGGTAAACTCGATGTACATCGGGTGCCTTGACATCCAAATTTCTTCCCAACGACTATGTCGTCGACGACGATTCTTGATTAATAGTCGTAAATAGCTTGACTACTTATTATACAAAGCAGAGAGAGAGGGAGAGAGAGAGAGAGAGAAAGAAAGAAAGAGAGAAAGAGAGAGAGAGAGATGATACGTCGAGCGAAACCGTTGCTTAATGCACCATAATTAGCAATCATTCAACGATATACGCAAGTGATATCAATGTGTTAGAGAGTTGAAAATGAAACCTTCCTGTCACGAGTATCGTAAGCGAAACAGAAAGAAGAGAAGAAAGACGAACGCTTGCTCCGCTGAAATTTTATGTAAGAATATTGAAAGATATAGGGAGGGAAAGAGAGAGAGAAAGAGAAAGAGAAAGAGAAAGAGAAAGAGGAAGAGAGAGAGAGAGAGAGAGAGAGAGAAAGGGAAAGAAGAAGGGAACACTCAATTACAAAACGTAGAAATTTGCCTAAGTCGCAATGATAACGCCAAGTATAATAGTATATATTGCGTACAGTGCAGGGACGCGTGGAAATACCACAGTGATGTAAGTCGACGCAAGCGATTAATATGCAAGTTGACAACGAAATGTCAAAGTCGATTTTATTGGCCGATTTCATTGGCTATATTTCTTTTCTTTTCTATTTTTTTTTTTCTTTATTATTCACACATTATTTTTATATGAGTCGTCATCACTTTTGGCTCAATTATTCATAGAAATGTCTTATAATTTAATTCGACAAAGAAAAAAAGCTAGTTCCGTTTTTTCTTTTTTTGTTTTTCAAGAAAAACGAAGAGAGGAATAGAGGAATAGAAAAAAGAAAAAAGAAAAAATAAACAAATGATACATGATCGTATGCACTTTGTTGCATAAACGTTCTTACAACGTCGTGATCGACGACATAGATATAGTACTCGGAGAGCAAGCAAAATCCCATGAAAGAAGAAAATTAGTAGACCGTATGTATTATACATTGTCGAGTTAAGTATAATCGCAGGACAAGTTCCCAGTATGGTGGGAACACATCGGATATCATTACCATGGGAAACGGTTGCCATTGAGTCTGAGCCGAGAGATTTTAACGCTCCTCTATCGAGTATCGAGTATCGTTGAACTTCTCCATTTTCTGATAATAGCAAATAAGTACATCCTTCTGTCGTTGAATGTAAGAGTTATATATATAACTATTATCATGTATAAAATATTATCTTACAGTTATATGAAACTGTGAGATGGAAATGAAGAGGATGGATCATTGTGACTCTCAGTGATTTTTATTTTTCTATTTACATACAAATTATTGAATTCAAAATGCATCGATGATAAAATATGTATTCGTTTTATAATATTTAATAATGGAATTTTTGTTATATATATATATATATATATATATATATATATAATATGTATATATATAATATGCATATATATAGTATGTGTATATGTATTGTATGTATATATATATTATATTGTATGTGTATACATATATTTTATGTGTATATATATACATTGTATATGCATACACACACCCATATTTGGAAGAAGATAACAAATTTTAATCTGTTTATTAAACATTAATAAAATCAATATCTTCCACTTCATCATCGACGACATTATTTTTGTATCTTTCATCATTTATTTGATAGTAACTATACTAATTTATTTATTTGGTAATGACGAATACTAGTCTATTTATTAAGCATTAGGATCAATATGTTCCAAATCATCATCGTCGATTCTCTCGTTTTCCAAACCATCTTCGAATGGAATCGTTGACACTTTCATTTTATATTCCGATTTAGAAGCATTAATTGTCTTCTCCGCTTTTTCACTAGCCGAAATTGTTTCCGCATCTTTGTTCTCCTTTGTATTGGAATTTCCATTTCCATTACCATTTTTGCTACCATTCTTGTTACCATTCTTTCGTTTTGGACCATAACCATATGGATGGAACGGCCCAGGAAAGAAATCATCATAATAATAATCATAATACTTGTGATAATAAGGATCGTGAAAATGATGATCGACGGTCTCGTTGTGGTCTTTATGGTGATAATAACCTGGACCAAATTTGTAAGGCGGTGGGGGAAAATCATAAAACGGTTTATAATGTCCATAAAATGGTCGGCGATCATTAGGTTTTGGATGATCCGAACCATTTTCTTCTTTCGTTTCTTCCTTGCTACTACTATTATTTTCATCAGAATTACTTGAATCCGAATTTGGCCGTCGACCTGGATGACCGTAGGGATATTTGTAACCTAGAGGATGGTGATAAGGAAAGTGTGGATCAAATCCAAAAGGTCCAAAGTAATGTCCGTCGATTGGTAATGGACTATGATGATATCTGACGTCACCTCTTTGTCGATTTTCAAAAGAAGAGTAACCATTGAACCCATTTAAACTACTAAGCGGTCTACCCACAACTCCATCGTTCGAAATTCGATCGTGAGATCGATAAATAGAATCGAAACGACCCGGTGATTCGATATTTTCAGCATTCGCAAAGTTTCCAGTGTTAACGGGACGACCTAAGTTAAGCCTTCCACGTATATCAGTCCTATCATTTAGGCCAATTGATTGAAAATAATTATTTGGGACGTTGTAAGGGTCGTAAAATTGAGACTGACGATAATCAGAATTTTCAGGATAATTTGGTCTTCCGTAAGAATTGTAAAAATCGTTGGCCTGTCTTCTAGTGTTTGAAAAACGATTAGGTTGTTTAAGATTGCCTTTCTCTCGGTATATCTCAGGCGTTGTGGCCTCGTCAACGTTGTCCTTAGAACTTGACAATGATTTTGGAGTCTCTTCAGAATTTGTCTTCGTAATCGATGATAATTCGAGAAATGATCTATTGCCTCGATTAGTTGAAAGTTCGCCGAGTATAGTCGGAGTTAATACAGAAGCGACGTTCCTCGCAAAGGTCGTCAAAATGTCGGAATCTATGAGAAAAAAAATAGATTTTAGAAACTATTGGGTTCCTTTTTCTTTAGGACTTTAGAGGTCGATTAAATCTTTTTCTTTTTTTTCCTTTTTTTCATATAAAATATTTTATATACAATATTGAAGGTAAGATATTTAAGAATTTAAAAAAACTTGTAAATTATTACGACACAATCGAAGTAACGATCTAAAATAAGTTCCGGAATCATAATGAGATAAAAAATATTCAACATTCCACGAAATCGTCAGATTACGGGTGACGAGGAAAAAAGATTTTAAAAATACATCGGGCGAACAAAAAAGAAATTTTATCTTTAGATTGGCATTTAACAAAACTACTTTTTTTTTTCTTTTCTAACTCGAACGATAACCAATAACTTACTGATCGTGCTCTTTGTAGCACTTCCAACACCCAAAACGTTCCAAATTGCTACGTAGCATAGCAATATCTGTAAAAAGAATTTGTTTTTTTGGTTTTTTTTCCCTTTTTTTTTACATATTTATTAAGTAAATAGGATTTTAAAGTATTATCTGTTTAAACGCAAGGAAATTTCATGATTGAAATATTTTTAATGTATAGAAAGGGAATAGAATAAAATGACAAATATTATCAATGCACTGTGCAGCAAAGCATGAAAGTCGAATGAAAAGGACGAGGGATTAATCATCAGTGAGTCCCTTCGTGCGGAACCTTCTTACGTATATACATATATATCTTCGATTGCGTCCTTGCGGAAACAAAAAAAAAGGTCAAATTATTTTTTCGAAGTTTTTTAGGATCATTCAATTTAAGAGAAAGGAAGGAATATTCGGTGGATTCGTTCATCGATTAAGAGAAATCAAGATACGTTATAATAAGATGTATGATTAGCATATCCGGATTTCTAAGTAATTTTCTAATATTTCATAGAGTCATGCTTGTCTTTGATGTGCATTGGACTAAAAATAAAAACGATCTTACTAGGAAATGTTAGTTAAACGATCGAATTAAAAAATATGAAATTTTTCAAACTGTTCTAAATCATTTCTAAATTGAGAGATTAGAAATTATTAATAAATGATCGAGCGTTATTATTACATATGAAATATATTGATTAAAATGACATTGATATATTACACTAATTTAATTATATATAATTTAATGTAATAAACACCATAGTTACACTTTGACAAATCAAAACTTTTGAATGAATGAACGTAAATACAGTCACTTATTGTCATTAGTATTAGTACGCACATTAGATACTCACGTGGAGACCGTAATGCATCGTGCGTGGGATCGATGACGACTAAGGGGTATGCAACGACTCCGATGTCATTTATACTTTCCTCTCTCTAAACATTTCTATGTTCCTTCGTTCTTAAAATATAATACGGATGTAACAATATATATATGTAAGGATTTACGTTGAACGTATAGTTGGCATTCTTTGATGCAATTATACGGTTCAATCGTTCGATGCTCACAACTTACTTAACGCATGAATAATCAGAACTCTGTATTCTTTCTTTCATATATTTAAATTTATAACTAAAATTCTTCTTTTTTATCATTATTATTGTTGTTATTATTATTATTATTATTATTATTATTATTATTATTGTTGTTATTATTATTATTATTATAAAACGTACAACATACATTTGTATTTACAATGAATGCATCAATGTTTGTGTAAGCAATATGAATATGTAACTTGCAAGGCATTTCGTATTAATCTTTAAAAATTTTATTTACAAGATTAACTTCTCGTTATTAAATCCTTGCGAAACGATACCTAACGAAAAGATTCGAATCTTCAACGAAGCGTATTTATGTAACAGAAGATGATTCTCAATGAGAAGATAATGAGGATGAACCTTTCAAAATCCGATTTGAGTGATCGTCCCGACGACACCAGGTGCGATAACACCTGGAAGATTATAAATCTGAACAGGTCGTGCTCCATGGGTGACAGCCAATCTCGTTGCTCTAAAATTCGGCGTCACGATCACAGGTCGAATAGCTTTCACCGAGGATAATCTTGATTGAATCGCTTGTTGAGATGAGTATCCTGGATATTTTGCTAGCATACCTGATACACTTCCGTAAGGAATACCGCCTACGAATTAATAATAAAAATATTTTTTTATGTATATCTATAAAAAAAGAAAAAATTAAAAATAATTAAAATTTTTTAAATAGTTCCGATCGTTATAGAATTATATTAAGTGGTGTAATCTATAAGGTTTAGCATGAAACATTTTAATATTGAATTATTGAAGGACATCGTCATAATAGAAATCTATGATACCGATTGTTCAATTCTTATTCTTACCGTATGCCAATCCGTTTACCATCTCAACGATTCCTGCGCTGTCCGGTAATGGCGCTGCAGTTGATAAGTTTATCAACTGCATTAATCCAAATAAAAAGAGAATCTACATAAAAAAAAAATAAAGAATATATATGTATATATATATTTACATATGTATATATATATATATATATATATATATATATATATATATATATTTAATGTGCTTAAATAGATTCTAATTCGATTCTAACGTACATCGAATTAAACGTGAAATATGTCAATGAAAACCGCACTTTCTAATTGCTCAAAAATGTAAACGCTTTCAGTCGCGCACGATAAAATTAATATATCGTTATAAATGTTAGAAAGCATACGACAAATCGATATAAAACGATCGCCTTGTAAAATACCGTACAAATTATATAATATTTCGTAATAGACTTTCTTGAATATTTTTAACGTTGGACAACGAATAAACTTTTTCAATGTTTCCATTAAAAATCAACGAAATCAATAGTTATATAAGTATATAACCTAACATGTCCCTTTCTTTTGTTCTAGGTGAATGCAACACGGTACTGTGATCACGAGTATTCAGATTAGAATAGCAAGAACACGCCCCGGATCGAATTGCATCGCAACAGATCGAAGTAATAAAAATTAACAGTAGTGAGAGTTTATTTGCCGTGAAAAGTTTCAACAACATTTGATTAATATTATCATGCTTTTTTCATCAGATTTATCGCGATCGTCATTGTATCACCATTGTTACGATGGATTATACGGAGAATTACTTTTCTTTTCTTTTTTTTTCTTTTTTTTTTTTTTCTTTTTTTATGGAAAACTAACATCATCGGAAATATCAAACTTGAACTTCGTAAAATTATTTACACTTTCAACATATCGATTAGGCAAAATTTTTAATTTCATAGAATCGATCAAATCTAAATAATACTGATTATTATTTTATTCCGCAAGACAAAAGAAAGCAAACAAACAAACAAAAGGTACATTAATTTCTTTGAAATTATTTGATAATAGAATCTCTCAGAAAGAATATATTCAGTAATTTCACGTAAATCACTTATAGTACCTTCGTAAGAAACATGTCGTCGTTTTAAATGTTATTGCACGACCAACTAACAGGCAAAACTAGGGTACAAAGGCAAGGATCGAATTATATAGACGGCGTGGCATTACCATTGACCAATCGTGCTCTAGTGTTCCCTTTCAATTTCCCGAGGACTTATTTATCGTGTTCTAGGATTTTATCAACGCGTGTCATTCCACGCTAATACGTTCGTTACCGCTTAGCAAGGATACGTATGTTCTCCTACCCTGAGATACCTTAACCTTGAGAAAAGTGCGGGGCGCCTCTCACATCGTATCTATGTGAAACAGTTTATAACTTTTGTCTACAATGATCAAGGTTCAAATATTTCATTCGCATTCACGTTTGATTACGTTGACCTAACTATAATAATAATAATAATTCTTATTGTTATTATTATTTTTTCTTCTTTTTTCTTTGTTTTTAATTAACCGTCGTCCATCCCTTCTACTCTGAAAAATCTCGATGTCCTTTAGAGATAGTAACATTTAAGAAAGAAAGTTTGGTTAGAACAGGTTTTTACGAATTATTTTTATTTCATTTTTATGCGTATCCAACTACTTAATTAAGTACTTACGATACCGTAAATATATTCTATGTTACCAAGGTATGTTTTTTATCTCTCGGTTGAATATAAACATTTAGAAAAATACGGATATATGAATAAATCCACATTCTTTATTTTTTATTTATTTTCATTTTAAATAAGATTGTAAGCAATATTCGAATACTCTTTCAACTTAGTCATGATTTTCACAATTCTGTAATCTATCGCGAATTAACTCGACATATTCTGCCATTTATATAGTACTACACATGAATTGGCATTGAGGCTAACCACATACGCACATATATATATATATATATATATATATATATTACATATATACGTACGTACATATATACACACATACATACATACATGCGATCGATTGACGATCCTGTTAGACGATAATCTGATAATCTAACATAACGTTCATCCTTTTTTACTTTATTTACATTGACGCTGTAGAGAATGGTCAAGTCATCTTATTAATTATACATACAATTTTCAAAGATAATTAAGATTAATTGTAGGTATTTGCATTAAACGTAATATTATAGGTCTATATCTCCAAAATTAGATCAAGGTTTCATTACTCTTGAAACACACAAAACATGATTCCGTAACTCGTTTAATGACCTCGGTATACTATTCATTTATATAGTTATGTTATAATAAATTGTTAATATAAATATTATCATTATAAATGTTATAATAATAGATAAATCATCGTAAAGAAAAATATGGAAGAGATTGCATATTTTATTTATAACAAAATATTACAGATAATAAGATGTAAAAATATATTTGAATACAATATAAAGAACAATTAAATAATATATAAATTGTAAGTTATAGTAATTAAATATTCGAAAAAAGAGATTGTATATAAAGTCCGTAAACAATGAGAAATTTTTATTTCGATTAGGATCTCGAAAAAAGGGAAAAAAAGAAAGAGAAATTATAACACGTAAATAATTACTTACGTCGTTCTACGTAATAATACAACCTTTGTTCCGGATGATGTAAAAATTTGATCGACGATTTAATTTTATTATTTTTTTCTTCTTCTTCTTTATCTTCTTCTTCCTCTTTTTCTTCTTTCTTATTCTTCTCCTTTATCTCTTCTAATTTTATATTTCCATCTTTGAATCCACCATCGTTCCTCGAATATGACTCCAAAGTTTGTCCCAAAAGGTTGCCTGTTAGATAACTCTGAAATTGTATAACATTTTAAATACATAAATGAAAATAGAGAGAAATTAATCGTAGTGGCAATCTTCGAATTTAAAAAAAAAAAAGAAAAAATATATATATATATATTCATGGAATTTTTTACGGAAATAAAAAAAATTATAAAAATTTGAAGATCATTTATTCAGAGAATCTAAACTTTTTTTTTTTATTAATGATCGTAATTCTTTGATATTAAGAAAACGATAGACGTAATTATCTATATTCCAAAATAGAAAGAAAATAATTCGTGACGATAATCGTCGAACTTTTTAAGATAAATTTATGAAATTTTTCATGACAAAATTGTGAAAGTTTCAAGTTAATTCATTAAAAATTTCAACTTTATTTTGTTAATGATCGTAATCATACGATATCTAGGACACTCAATAGACCTAAATATTACATTTAAATATATATTGTAAATGAAAGTATATAATTTATGACGATAATCATTTTCAAACTTAAAAAAAAAGAAAAGAATTATATTAAAGTTGGAAGATCATTTATTCAACTAAATCTTTTTCCTTTTAATTAATAATTGTAATTCTCTAATATTCGGAAAACGCGATAGATCCAAATATTGTATTTATATATGAAAAAAAGAAGAAATAATTCATGACGATAATATTTAAATCCTTTTTCTTTTTTGAAATAAATTCATGGAATTTTTTATGAAAATTTATGAAAATTCGAAGATCATTGTTCAGAGAAACTAAACCTTATATATGTTTTTTAAATTAATAATCGTAATTCTCCAATAACTAGGAAACGGTAGACCTGATGTTGCTCAAGTTGTGCTTAGTCAATCGAATGACTCCTTTCTGATCAAAAGAACTTACTTCTGTCGATGGAATACCGCTGAGATCAAGATCTTGTGAGATTCTCCAGTTATTATCCTTCTTCGTGAATTCCGATATATCAGGATCATCTAATTCAGTGATGTTTTTAGCTTTGTTAGGCTCGATAGAGATAAACATTTCCTTGACACCATCCTTGTCTATTTTTTTCGTTCGATAAACATGATCAGGCGTTTCTTTAGTTGTCATTGATATCCTTTCGACGTTTTCACTAGTGATATTTCCACGATTACGATTGATTTCGTTATTATTGCTGTAATGTTTCATTTTGAGTGTTCCAGGATTGTCATTGGCATTGATAGATGAATTTTCGTTATCAGGATAAGTCGTTCTGATAAATGACTCTTTCGAGACTCTCGAACGATGTTCAATAGTTGTAGTTGATGGTGTTGGAAGGGTATGTTTCATTTCGGAAAATTGATTATTCGTTTTTTGATATCTCGTTTGAGGTCTTTGTCGTATTAACTTTTTAGTAGACACGAAAGTTGTCGTCGTAGTTGTAGTCGTAATCGTTGTTGGTGCTGTAGTCGTCGGCCGTATCTTTCTTCTTTTAACTTGTTCTATAACAGGTTTCGTCGAATATTTTTTAACGTCATTGTTAATTTGAACATTTTTCTTTAAAATTCTACGTCTTCGTGATCTGTCGACGGTTACATTGTTAGGTTTAATTGTTGTTTCTGTGTTAATCGGAAATCGTAAAGTATTAGATTCGACTTGTTCTTTTTTTAATATTTCCTTCTTTGTTGTATTCTTATGATTTTTATGTTTTATTGTGGCAACGGAAGTTACTTCTGTCAGGTTATTTTCTTCGACCATCCTTCTTCTTCCAATATCTTTTCTAGGTGCTAAAGTAATGTCCTCCGGCACCAAATTTCCAGTAATGATCCGACGATGATTCGAAGATCCAGTTCGATCTTTCTTCCCCTTTAATTTTTCTGGATCTATGTGAATATGATTGAAATTTTTATGAACCGATTTTGATAATTTGAGATTACTCGAATTATATTTGCTGCTATATTTAACCGGTTTATGCAAGGAACTACTTTCTTCCGTATCGAAATATCGCTCTTGTCTATTAATCTTTTGTTTCTTGGAAAGAGGAATATCGTATAATTCCCAAGGATAGAAATGAGTATGTGTGTCCTTAGAAGACGAAACATCTTCGTTGCTATCCCTCGAACTAAAATCATCTAATTTTCCATAACTTTTTCTCTCCCTTCTTTGTTCTCTCGCCAATCGTTCTCTCTTCTCCCAAGGAAACTCATAACTCCAGAATGGAATAGATTTCGATTCTTCAAAGGAATTTTTATCTCGTCTTTCGTCCTCCGAACTCCAAGGGAACGATATATGTCGTGTTTTTTTTTTATTTTCATCGTTTACAGTCTCTTCGCTACTTTCTTCAAAAGGCGAGATACTCGATGTCTCGTATCTCTGCATCGAAAATGGTGGATGATAAAATGCCGGCTTGTTGATACGAGATCCTAATTCAGAATATTTCTCGTCTTCGTAATTTTCTGATGGAGAATACGGTCTGGAAGAATAATAAGAGAAAAATGTTTTATCTTCCTCCTTAGATACGTCTCTTTCTTTAGTTTCTAATGTTCCTTCATCCTCTTCGTCTTTCTTTTTCTTTTCTAAAGAATCCTCTATGGACTCATGGGAATGTTCATTGGATTTGAAATCTTCTTCAAGGTCACCATTAGATACTTTCAATTGAGTCTCTTCAACGATCGGAGAAATCGTTGTTTCTTCTGAAAATGCTCCTGGAGGATCAGAAATTAGATAGTTGGAATATTCTAACGAAGTCGTTGATAAAATTGCTGTCGGTGTTGTGCTAATGTCATCCATATTTTCATGAATTTTGTAATTATTGTTATCTTTCCTTATCGATTCCTTTTTGCTAAGATATTCCTGGGAATCCATCCGTGTTCCATCTCTCGATAACGTAGAGTATCGTAAGTGTTTATTCGAAATCGTACTAGGTGTCGTTGTTTCGCTCACGTTGCTATCATCGGACCAAATTGTTGATAAAATCGTAGATACCGTTGAGGAATCAAAATTGTTACGTTTTCTTTCAACGCTGTTATATCTCGGCTCCTTTCTTCTACTATCTTCGTCTAATGTCCTTGACTCTCTTGTGAATTTACCGACATTCTTTACTTCATCTTTTGGTTTTAAATGTTTGATTCTATCTCTGATCGTGTAAACGATCCTACTAGACGAATCTTTTTCTGAATCGTCAGCGGAAGATGTCAAATTTTTAGATACGATAGAGAATTTTCGTCTACGAGGTCTCAATGTTGTATTAAATCTGTTAGTCACGTTTTTAATATTTTCGTTTGCATTTTTTTCGGTTATTGAATCGACAAGTTTCGAACGGCCAATTGG